ACATTAGATGGGTTATTTGCTAAGTGTAAGTTTAAGACCTTAAAAGCACCCTGAAATACATAAGAGATGCTGTGGGTCACTGATTCTCCGATGTTGAAATAGAAACCCTAGTACACAACGTAAGAAAACTTGACAAATCCTGATGACATGAATATTTAAATAGAAGAAAAACTTGTGAAAAGGCAACAGTAAAGACTACTCATGCTCTATTTGGAAGATCTCTTAAACAATGTCTAAGAACTTCAAAAACTTAGCAAATTCAATTACTTTAAAGTTAAAATTTCAGAACAAACTATACCATATAAATGTGAATTGTAAAACACTAACTCTACATCTGAACCAAAACTATTAAAGTTATAAGGTTTGTATACAATCTATATAGGTTTAAACACAATCTACTGTTTATAGGTCATTATCTTATTAACAGGATATGCGTGCGTACACATATAAATATTCATACACATATACATATGAAAAAAACTTATAGAACCACAACAACTATTCTTCAAAGGTTTTTGTGAAGGTATTAGAAGCTGCAAAGAGACCCAGGTATTGAAGAATCACAGTCTCAAACCCAGAGCATCACTGAAGCATATCCATTTTCTCCATAATGTCTTTTAACCAGCAGCTGCTACGGGACAGAAAAGCCAACAGAGTATCAGGTAATTCTGTAAAGGCAAAGACAGAAAATTGGACCTCAAGAGTGTTCAAGCCAATATGGGCTATGAACCATATAAAGCAGTGACATATTTACCCATGAAGCATTCATGGAAATATTAAAGAAGCCAAGCAAGCCATGGAGGGGGGATCTTATACAAAGCACAATAAACTTCAATCCCTTCACAAGTACCAGGGCATTAAAACTTGGAGTTCATAGCCCTGCAAGGAAAGAAAAGCAGTATAAGTCCCCACTGAAATCCTACGGAACTACCTCAAGGGGTACAAAGTTACAGTTGCCAAGTAAGGAGATGCTTTACAGCTTGGATTGAGATGACTTCTACAGGTTTGCTTCAGACCTCTGAATTCTTTCTAAAAGAAAACAAATAAGGGAGGGAGGGCAGGGAGGAGGGAGAGAAGAAGGAAAGGAAAAAATCCCTCCTGTAGTAGTTTGAATGAGAATGCCTCCATAGACTCCTATGTGTGATGACTTTGCCCCAGTTGGGAGACTGACTGTTCAGGAAGGATTAGAGGTATGTCCTTGTAGGGAAGGTACATATTACAGGGGGTGGGCTTTGAGGTTTCAAAGGCCTATGCTAGGCCCAGTCTCCAGTTCTAGAGACAGCCTACCACCAAGGTCTCTACCATGATGGTCATGGAATCACTCTCTGAAATTGTTAGCAAGATCCCAATTAAATGCTTTCTTTTATAAGCTGTTTGGGTCATGGTATCTCTTTACAGCAATGGAACAATAACTAAGAAATCTTCCAAATAACCGGGTATTAAAAAACAAAACAAAACAAAACTAGGCATTGTCTTTACAGTAACTTGATTATTATTCCCACTGAGGGAAAGATAAATAACTACACTCCAAAACAATACTGTCTAAAAAGAAAGAAATAGGGTTACCATTTTTGTCATTTGCAAAATGTTTAATTAGTAATAATTATAAAACACTTTTTTAAAAAGAACCATTTGAAAGCCAAACAAAAAAAGCAAGCAAAAATTGAAGGGATGTCAACTCCTGGGGGATGGAAACAAAATGAGTAAAACAGGTACATTCCTGTTTATTGACAAATCCTAAGAACACAGGTCCTAATACACAGTGTAAAAAATTGACAAGAATAATAGAAAAAGAAGCAACAGAGTTAGGTATTTATTACTCATTTTGAGTTAAGTTATAGAAAAAGCTACAAAAGCCTTTGCAAATGTTAGAATATAGATCATGTTGATACCATTGGCCACCTTTAACAAATTAACATTTACAAAACTTCTAATCAAACCAAATGCTCATAAGATAGTCATCAAGACTCACCATAATGAAGTCTCCTAACAACTTTAAGATTAAAAATGTTTAGATTATGTTGCATGGATGTGGATTATTTGGAACATAATCTAAATGTGCTCATGTTCATAGCAGCATTATTTGTAATAAGGAAGAACCTGGAAGCAACCTAGATGTCCCTCAACTGAAGAATGGATAAAGAAGATGTGGCACATCTACACAATGGAATACTACTCTGCAGAAAAAAAATAATGGAATCTTGAAATTCACAGGCAAGTGAAGAAACCATCCTGAATGAGGTAACCCAGTCACATAAAGAGGAACATGGTATGTACTCACTCATATATGGATTTTAGACCTAGAGCAAAGGATCACCAGCCTATAATTCATACCACCAGAGGAACTAGGATACAAGGTGTATTCTAAGAGAGTCATATAAAGTCCCTCCCTGAATCGGGAAGGGACAAGTCCCCCAGAGCACATGGGAAGTGGGGGGGGGGCAGTGAATGGAGAGAGAATTAGGAGAAAGAGAAGTGGAGGAGAGGAAGGCACGTGAGACTAGGAAGATTGAGTCAGAGTAGCAATAGAAGACAGGAGAGAGAGAGAAAAGACAAACAGGGAGAGAGAGAGAAAAGAGAAGAGAAGAGAGAGATAGATAGAGATAGAGATAGAGAGAGAGAGAGAGAGAGAGAGAGAGAGAGAGAGAGAGAACATAAAAGAGGGAGCCAATATTGGTTTGAAGAAAAAACTGAACCTAAAGAAAGGTCTAGAGACCTACAAGACTGCCATCAACTAACAATTTGAGCAACCGTGGAAAGGCTACCATAAATGCCCTTCCCGGATAGTGAGACCAACAACTAACTTATCCACCATCATGGAGTCCTTATCTAGTACCTGTTGGAAACAGAAGCAAACACCCATAACTAAACACTGTGTCGAACTAGAATCCAAATGCAGAGGGAGGGGACAAGACTAGGTTGCAGAAACACATAGAGACAGCTGACCTGAACAAGGAGGAACTAACGGGCCCCCAAACTGATAGCTGGGAAGCCAGCATGGGACTGACTCAGGTCCCCTGAATATGGGTCTCAGCTAGAAGGACTGAGCAGTCTAAGGGACCTCAGACAGTGGAACCAGGATATATTCCTGGTACACAAAAGGACCTTGCAGACACATCCCCCATGGAGGGATAACTGCCTTAACCTAGAGACAGGAGAGAAGTCCTAGTCCCTACTTCAAATGACTTGACAGATTTACATGACCCCACCTGGATGGCATTGCCCTACATGTGGAACTGGGGTGGGGGAATGGGAGGGGAGGATGGTCAGGCTGCATGTGAAGGGGTAGAGAGGGAGAGTGGGAGGGAGGGAGAGGGAACTGGGATGGATATGTAAAATAAAATAAATTTTAAAAAAATGTTTAGATTATGTTCTCTAATCACAGAATACCTGGGAAGAAAAACCAAAACATGAAGAGCCATCTCAGATTGCACTAAACAGGAAGCATGTGCGCGTGCACACACACGGGGAAAAACTTTTGGGATGTTGAAAATATTATTTTTATCTTGGTACCTGGCACATGGGTTTAGCCTTTTGCCAAAACTCACTGATCTGGAAGCACTATTGCATTAATAGCTATAGCCTCTATGCAGCCTGAAGACAAAAAATATCCAAACTACAAATGATTTCCAAATGAAAAAAGAGAAATAAATCTCAGCGTAAAGCCACTCATCTATGATGCCTGATATGCCATGGGCACCTGCCTCCAGCCTTGTTCAAAAAACCAAAGGCCCCAGGAAAGAGAAAGCAGAAGTATCACTAGGCAGAAGGACAAAATACAATATCAGAAAAAGACTAATATAATCAGAGTCAGAATAATTGGAAAGAGATTCTTGGCAAGAGAAATGTAAAAGGAGAAGCATCTTTTTGAAGATTAAAGTTATAAAAATGAAAAACTCAGAGTGCCACAATAAAAAAGAGAAACTACAATAAAAAAGACCCTGTATCAAAAACATCTAGCCCCTGAGACGGCGAGTACCTAAGGACTGTGGAATTGGACAAAGGTCCAAGAACTAAGCCCTACATATATACTATTTTTTCTTACATATAGACATCTACAATAAAGTTTATCTGTAAATTAGGCACAGTAAGGCTAATCAGCAATAATTATAACATATACTTTAAAAAGTTTAATGTGGTTTTTCTCAGTCCTCAAAATAACCTGTAATCACCCTTTGTATGATATGAATAGAAGATACAATGCCTACATTGTGACACTGCCTAGCCTAAACTATCTGAACACAGGCACCGACTTATTTGATAATTGTGGTAGCTACCAACTGACCAAGAAGTGAACAGCAAATCTGGGAACATTGTACAAGGGATGATTTACCTGCTTAACATGATGACACTAGACTCTGTCATGTCATTCAGAAAGACACATTAAAAATATATGGATTATTTCTAGACTTTTACATTTAGTATTTTCAAAACATTCCTAACTGCCATTACCTGAAACTACAGAAGCAAAATTGGAAATAAAAGAAGAAGAATAATATTCTACAACATAAAGTTCAGGAATAAACAAAAATGATCTGTAACTGAGACAAATCTAAGAATGGGGCTAGCAGAAGCAGGGGACAAAGGTAAATGACTTGAAGGGTACATGAAGGTGATAATGGACCCAAGTCTAGACTACTACTACACAGGTTTTTCAAGTCCATTGAAAACAGCATGTAAGATTTTTCTCTTTGTAAATTATATTCAGTAATTTTCAATTATTCTTAAAGTAAATGGTTATATTGTCCGCATTTATGTCTGCTTACTGCATGAATCTACTGCCCAGAGGGGCGAGAAGAGGCCACTGGATCCGCTGAAACTAGAGTTATAGAAGATTATGAATTGCCATGTGGGCGCTATAAATCAAACTGGGACTACCTCTTTCAGGATTTTTAAATGGCATTCATCCATATGTGTTTATTTAGACATTATTCTTTACCATCTTTCCCCCCTCTAACACTTTACTTTCATGCCAAGTTTTAACTACTGAATTTCTTTACCTGAAGCATGGTGATCCATTCTCTTTTATTTTACTGTTCTGAATAGAAGATGTTTGAGCTTGAAGTGAGACAAGTTTATTTCCAGGCAGAGTAATTTGCTTTATGATGGGAGCTGTAAAAACAAAACAAGAAAGAAAACAGTAAAAAATAAAAAAAAGCAATCATGTCACATTAGGAAAATTCAGGATTTTTTTTTTTTTTTTTTTTTTTAGTAAATATGAAATAATCAGACTATCTTCAGCAACCATAGAAATCATCTTGTAAATATCTCTAGATTATGTTTTATGTAGTCTCAAATTGTTTTAAAATTAGTATTACTATAAAAAATGCCATGCACAAAAATGACTGAAAGATGTTGATAATATTTTGTTTATATTGGTGTATTTTTAACACATTTACTATTACTAGAATGTATTATCTAACAATATAATTCCATAAGCAGTTGTTTATATCAAAATAATATATACCCCTAAAGAGTGTTTCTGTAAATGTAATAGCTATCTTTCCGCCATTTTTTAAATCCTCTTCTCTTAATATAACAGGTGTAAACCCTGTCATGTCCCAGATCCACTGTGATGAAGCTGGAATGCCAACATGCACATATAGGAGGAAACTTACTAGTAGGCACTACAGTATTCACTGGCATCTTTGTCCCACATTTCTGAGTGATCAAGGGCGAGGAATGGGAAATGGTGGTCACCTGTTTTGTATTGCCTCCTGAAGGCTGTTGGACTACCTGAAACAGTAAGAGTTCATTATAGTTAAACAAGGACGCCTGCTTTAGCAATGAACAAGAGCTTCCATTTTTATTTTTATATAGCTACATATACCTCTATCTAGCACAATAAAAATGATGCCTACTTAAAACTCATCTCCAGGATGGCCTCTGAGTCATAGGAATTCTGCATCAGCTTCCTAAATGCTAGCTAAGGTTTGGGTGTTTACCACTACATTCAGTTTAATGCAGGAAAATTACCTCATTCAAAACTGAAAAATATTATCACATACATTAAATATTTTCTATTGCAGAATTCAAATTTAAGAAAATAATGATATAGATATTACTTTTATTTCTTAATTTCCACCATGAAAAATTTCAAACACATGCAAAAGTAAAGAGAGCAAAATGAAATCATTTATACCACTACCCAGATTAAACAATGATTACATCTTGCATAATCATGTATCTTTTACCCACTTTCCAATTTTAAATCAAATATAAAAAAAAATCTTGTTTGTTCTTTGCACTTTTCTAGACATGGTTTCTCTGTGTAGCCCTGGCTGTCCTAGAGCTTGCTCTGTAGACCAAGCTGGCTTAAAGCTCAGAGATCTGCTTGCCTCTGCCTCCCAAGTGGCCAAATGCATGTGCCGTCACTACCACCAAATGGTTTAAGAAATCCTTTTAATCCATAATATTTCAAAATATATCTATAAAAGACAAGGACTTTTATGTACTATTTTTAAAAAAGTATCATCCCTAAACCCTTCAGAAAATATTGTTCTCCTAAATATAATAGCTATAGAAATACAGTTGGGGATAAGAAGAAATTAAAGTTCTAACAAGACTATTACTTTTAGCTTCAAAGAAAAAGACAGAAAAGCAGAGTGTCATATTTTCACTTCAATGAAGAAGTCATCATGTATTTGGGCCAGCTACTGATAGTGAGATAATTAGAAGTTCTTATTAAGTTTATCTATGTTTATTATAAACATAGATGATCTGCCCAAAAGTCATGCTTCTGAGTAAAAATTTACAAAAACAATTTATCCTACATTATAATTATCTGTAATAAAAATGTAAAACTTAAGTATGTCTTGTGTGGCTCAGAGCACTGTCCAGGTGGAGTGCAAGGTGTATTATGACTTACTATATAACTGGCACTGCCCCAGGACCTACAAGCTGCAAAAGCCCTCTGTGCTATCACCCTCCTCATTGTCCTGCTTGGCATTTTGGTATCTTGCTGGAGCAAAGTGCATTACATGTATGGAGAATTCCAAGCCTCAACTGGTGCTAGTCTCTGGGGTTATCTTTTATTTTTTAAATATTTTCTTCCTTTTTTGTTTTAATTTTAAAGATTTGTTTATTGTGTATACTGTGTTCTGCCTGAATGTGTCCCTGCAGGCCAAAAGTGGGTACCAAATCTCATTATAGATGGTTGTGAGTCATCATGTGGTTGCTAGGAATTGAACTCAGGACCTTTGGAAGAGCAGTCAGTGCTCCTAACCTCTGAGCCATCTCTCCAGCCCCTCTGGGATTATCTTTGTCATCTCTGTGGCCATGACTTTCATTCCTGTCTTCCAGATGGCCAACTCCATCATCCAGAATTTCTACAACCCTTTGGTATCTGATGTTCAAAAGCAAGAGCTGAGAACCTCCCTCTATTTGGGCTAGGCACAGCCTCAGGCCTTTTGCTGCTTGGTGGAGGCAACTGTGCTGTGCCTGCTCATCTGGAGGATCCTGGAAAGCTGGCCTGCTGTTCCTACATCTGCCCCACATTAGGTCTCTTGGGGACCTTCCAAATTATGTATGATCCTTATTTGGAGGATGGGGGAGGGGAGGGGGGGGAAGCTCTATTGGCCAGGGAACCTTAGGACCCTGAGCTAAGCCATCAAAAAATGTCAGACTTACTGGTCTGAGAGTTTGGTTACTTGTTTTTGTTTTGCAACACTGGGTATTAAAACCTGGGGCTCCACATATTTGGTAGACAAGCACTCTAACAATGAGTTGTATGATATCCTGCCCCTAGGGTTGGTTCCATCTGTTTCTGAGACAGGCTCTCATTGTGGAGCTCTGACTGACCTCCAGCTCTAGTTTCCCAGACTCAACCTAAATCCAGACTTCACCTAGCTGTTGGCATTTCTCACTTCAGACTGTATATTGGGAGGAGTGACACTTTTAGTTCCTTATTTACTTTGGGCATCTTCTGTGGAACCTGTTTTGAACTGCCTGTGAAGGTGGACTTCATCATCCTCAAGATGGTCTGTCTCCTGAAGCTGCTGATAGAGGGTAACTCACAGGACAGACACACCTTTCCTGGTCAGACTTTTCTTCCCAGTACTAGAAGGGCAGGTAGAAGTTTCTACCCCAAGTCTTCCAACCTTTAACCTCTGCATCCCTTACCAAAGTTACCATATACTCTCCCCAAAATCAGGTCTCAACTATGCTGTAGAACCTCCACCCTGATACCTCTAACGTTGCACATTTCCCTGTCCACATAATGTTTTACTACATAAAATATGACTTTTGTAATAATAATAATAATAATAAAAGGAGCTCTGTGTTTCTGACTTTTCTCCCTATAGTTTTGTTTCTTCCATCTCCACCACAATATTCAGTTTACTTTCCAAAATTGCCTGGAGGGGGCTGGATTTTTAATTAACTTTCTCATTCTTGAATTTTGTTTGCAAATCATGTGATTTGTGTGATTTTACTTTTATCTGGTAAAATTAATTTTAGAAATTTAAATTTTAAAAATGAACTGACTGAAATTACAATTTTGCTGTTCTGAATTAAATTACTTTTGCTAATTAAAATTTAACTTCTGTTCAATGGGTAAGATAATTTTTTACACAAATATCTAAAAGAGAACTTTCAAGCATCAAATTAAGAAACCAGGAGTTAGATTCCCTGGTAGGAAAAAAAAAACAGGGAGAGGCCACAGCTAGATAATAAAGATGATGATCTTCTAAGATGTATGGCTTCTTCCTCACCTGACCTTAGACAGACAAAAGCCTGGCAACTTGAAACAAGGACTTCCAGGGCTTCTCTACCCAGAAGGCCCCACGTGGATGCACTGGCTCAACAAGGTAAAAGCAAGGCAGGACAAGTTACAAAACAGCTGTTAACTAATCAGCAATCCTATGCTCCCACTGACCAACTCTGAGACTGGATTTTCAGTCCTGGGTCCTCTTTTTCTCTGTGTGTTTGCAGTATGTGTTTCTTCACCCTCAATAAAAGCCTTTTCCAACTGCTGATTCTGTCTGCTCCTGTTTGTGATGAGTTTTTCTCTACTGCTACCTGCTTCATTAGTGGGGATGGGGTTGGGGTTAGGGTTGGGGTTAGAGCTCTTCAAATCCTTAGCTGCCAGATCAAAACTGCTAAATGATAATAAAACTCACCTGATTGTTTCTATATAAGAAAATTAAGGATAAACTAATAAGTTTAGTATTCTTTGAGTGTATAGTTTCTATGGGAAAAATGACGAAGAGCCAATAAGATTCGTCTTTACAAGATCTGAATTCTTACAAAATTCAGAAAACTACCAAGCACGTTCTCCTATCTACTTTGAGTACAAAATAAAAAGCTCTCACCTAAAAGAAATTGAACAATTTAGTTCATAGAACCCCTGAATATAATATACAATAATCAACAAGGAAAAGATAGAAAGTGAAGTGAATATGCAGTAACAAACTTACTTTTTAAACTGGTGGTAGGTAAAATGTAGAATTTCATAAGATAATATGAATTGAAACCATGTAATTGAAACCATGGAAGAATTCTTACAACTTGAAGCATAGTTAGAGATCTTATGCAAAAGACTAAAGATATAAAATCATAGCATGAATATAGACATGGTCACTGATTGGATGACTGCAGAACAAAGAGTATTATTGAGATTTTACTATTTTGGCAAAGAGAAGCTAAAAGAGATAAAGTTTTTGGTTAGCAGTATTGTTGGACGTCTCACCAATGGCCACATTTATGTATCAGGAGACCAAAAAGATATGACATCTTATGATATAAAAGATGTTATTTATTTCATTTATTAAAGAAAAGTAGTATTGAAGTGAGGCTCATCTCAGAAAGGGCCTACTATAAACAGATGATCTCTTCCTTAAAGCCAGACAGGAAAGTAGATGAGCAGGTCTGAACAAAAACAAATGTTTCATATCTCAGTTTAAGTTCAGGTACCCAGTGAAATCCTGCCACAGCTTATATATTAATTCAAACACAGTGTTAAGAGATAAGGAGGTGAGGGCTCTCTAAATGACTGTTACCTCACTATTTAACTGTTAAGACTGTCCTTCAATGCCAGCCACCTACTATGCCTGAAGTTGTCTTAAAGACAATAATAATGGGCAGATGCAGCCTCTTAAAATCATACACTGAAGAGAGTGAACTACATCAAGAGATCCAAAACAGCATATCTAACATAACATAACAATATAACAACAGCAATCACCAAATAACCAAAAGAACAGCAGTCTGTGTTAAGAACTTAGAAAAGCAACTGCAAATTAACTCACCATGTAGCAGCTCCCACGAGTTAACAATACTTTTATAGTCTTCTGATAAAATGTGTGCTGGTGGCACACTCCTTTAATCCCAGCAATTGGGAGGCAGAGGCAGGCAGATCTGGTGTTCCTTGATCTACAAAGTGGGTTCAAGAATGGCCAGAGCTATACAGAGAAACCCCATCTGGATAGATACTGAGTGTCTTTTCCTTAATAAAGTATAAAATTCTAAATAATAAACAAATTAGCAGCTAAAACTTCCTTCTTTTAAACAAAGAATATATTCAACATACCAAGAATAAAAATGCACTCTTATTCTCTTTACTTTCTCCTTTACTCCTTATCTTTTTTTAAATATTAGTAGCAAAACTCCAAATAAGAGCCACGCCTAGTGAATGGCACAGGCCTATACTAGTCCCTGAGCAGGGAGAGGCAGGCAGGAGGACTGAAGGGTCAATGCAGCATGGCAACTGAGCAAGACCCTGGGACTTTTGTTTTGACTCTTTTGTTTCCCTGCTGTCCTGGTACTCTTTTGTAGACCAGGCTGACCTAGAAATCACTGAGATCCACCTGCCTCAGCCTCCCAAGTTCTGGGATTAAAGGTGTATATCACCACCTACACCACTACCGCCTGGCCTGTTTGAAAGACAAAATGTAGTGGAAAATGATTCAATGGATAGTGCTCCCAGCATGCCTGTAGTCCAATACTGGGGGGCAGAAACAGGAGGATACAACTGTGTGAAGGGGATGGAGAAATAGCTCAGTGTTAGAGTGTTTTCTGCTCTTCCAGAGGACACAAGTTCATTTGCATGTGGGAGGCTCACAACTCTGTAATTACAAATCCCACTTTTGGCCTCTTAAGGCACCAGAAAACAGGTGGCACATATGTAGTGAAATATTCACCTTGTTGGCATCTGTGGCACTGACCACGCCCATTGGGGGTGGAGACAGGGGTGGAAGTGACCTGGGAAACTAGGTCTGAGGAGGAGCCCAGGGAACACTCTCTTGCTGGTGGGAGGCAGAGAGGAGAGCATCCGGTGGAACCTGCTGATGTTCATCTGTCTAGGTTGTAAGTTATTTCTCCCTGAATAAACATCTGTTCGGCCTATTTGTTTATCCTGATCCTTATTAAACCACGATATCTGGTGTCAGAAGTAGGAAAAATAGCCCACACCTCCAAGGGAGACTGCACATATGCAGAATACAAGATGGACTGAAATCCACAAGAAATCCATTATCAACCTCTGACTTCCACATACCTGTAAATAAACACACATAAACACGAGAGAGAGGGGGGGGGGAGAGAGAGAGAGAGAGAGAGAGAGAGAGAGAGAGAGAGAGAGAGAGAGAGACCACAACAAAAGGCTGGAGTAACAGCTGAATGAAAGAACACTTGTCCAGAATTCACGAGGCCCTAGTTTCAATCTTCAGTACTAAAATAAGGTCATCATAACAATCACCTATGTAATAGCTCCCAAACATATTTAGACTTAATGTAATATTGAAGCAATAACATAAAAGAGACTTCTAGCAAATAATTAGACTCTTAAATAATTATAGTAATGTAATCCCAACACTTAGGAATCAGAGGGAAGAGGATCTGTGAATCCCATGCATACATTCATGCAAGCAAAACACACATATCAAACAAAATAAATAAATGTTAAAACAATTATTATTTAAAGATTAATATTGGAACAATAAATATTATCTTAATGCCCCCTGTGTGACAACAGGTTTGGCTATGTTAATATAAAACCATCCTTTTTATTAAGAAATACACAGTCATTTGAGGGCACAATTATGTATTCCCAGGATTACATATTTAAAGCCAACTTGGCAGTAAGTTAAAAAAAAAAAAAAGGCCAGTGATATATTTCAGTGGCAGAATTTTTGCCTAGAATGCCTAAGGTATTTCTGCACTATCTCTAGCACTGAAAAAGAAGAAAGGAAAGTGGATAGGGAGTAGGAAATAAAATAGACTTTTATCACAACTTTCACAACTTCCACAACTCCTCTCAAGTGTTCAGTAAACACTTTGTGTGAGCTTCTCTGTGCAACCATAAAGTGGGAAACTGAACAGGTGAGGCTAAAAGAATCTCAACTAGTCAAATTTGGGAAGTATACAAAGTCTTGTCAATCTCCTGAATGTGTGAAGTTTTCTGAGTAAGTAGTTAAGGAAGAAATGAACTGGTACTCACTAGTTGCTTGACTTGGACGGCCTGTGGAATGCCAGCTGACTGTGGAAGAAGGGGGCCTGGCTGTGCAAGCTTGATCTGGACCGGAGTGCCAATGACGGGTTTATCAGGTTTGGTCCCAGCAGAGGTAATGGCAGGCTTCACAGACGGAAGACAAACGGGTGCAGCTGAAGTATCTCCAAAAGTTACTGATGGAAGGGCCAGTGTAACTGCTGCCCCAGACACGACTGGCTTCTCAGGATGAATGGATACTGCTGTCACTGTATTTGGTACTGATGGTGTAAGAGGTTTTGAAGTCTGGAGCAAAACAGTTGCAGGTGTTGAACCTCCTGTTACAGCACCTGGAGTCACAGAGTGCAATGCCACAACTCCAGTGTTTGCTCCTCCTGGACCAGAGAGTGCATTCAGAGTCTGAACAGACAGAGTTCTGGGTGCTGTTGCTCCAGAGACAAGGACTGGGGAAACAGTACTTGTCACCACAGGAGAAGTCGTTGCTGTCGTGGTACAAGAGGCAACGACCACCTCACTAGAGATCTCCTGAACACAGTTCTCAATGAAGCTCTGGGAGTTAGGGAGAAGCTGTCGTAATGCAACCACACTCTTCTAGAAAAGGTAGAGAAAAGAACATAAAGGTAACAGAATAAGCTAAAGCAAGCAAAATTTGTATTTAACAACATAAAGTATCTCAAATGTTTCATCTGAGAAAACTAGTATCATTTGTTTTCTATCAATATATGTATACATAATTTAAAGGCCAAATTGCTTTCTCATTGAGAAATATTAATATAAAAGACAAAATATTAAATTTATTTTGGACATGTCAATGATCAACTTGGTAAAATAAAACACATCTCTCTACGCATCTAAGTCCACACAAAGATTATTGATTATCATAACATAGAAAAATCTAGGTCATTTTCATAGCTTTCAAACATTGGATGTAAAGCCTTTCCATGAAAATAAAAGACAAAAAAAAATGATTTAATATGTTTTAGCTGGAAATGTAAAAGGAATTTCTCAGAAAAACTAGTTGGCAACAAATGTTAATGAAAGTTAAACAGACAATATAAGTGTATCTTTAATTATTTCTTAACCATGACCAAGATTAAGCTGAAATGCCAATTCTATCCTCTTTGTGTAGCGTTTAACCCCCAAGCTCTCTCAGTGATGCCAGCAGATATCAAGTGTTCAAAAAGAGAGAGAGAGAGAGAGAGAGAGAGAGAGAGAGAGAGAGAGAGAGAGAGAGAGAAGAAGGAGAATTCACAGGTCCTTAGAAAGCAGATACAGCCTGGAATGGTGACACACTCCTTTAATCCTAGCACTCTGGAGGCAGAGGCAGGAGGATATCTGAGTTCAAGGCCAGCCTGGTCTACAAGTGAGTTCCAAATAAGTAAGGAAAGGAAGGAAAGGAAGGAGGGGGGTGGGTTAGGTTAGTGAATTTAGCTAGGGTACTAGAGTTCAACGCCTTAGAAAAGGTTCTTTATGGAGGCGAGGAACAAGTACTACAACTCATGACAGAAAAGGAGGTGATACTGTCAGTAGAAAGGTGTAAGTGAGGAGGGAACAAAAAGAGAGGCTGGAGGATGGGGAAAGAGAACTAAAACTAGAAAGTATGGAGGAAAAAGGAAAATCCAATGCTTAGTAAGCTATTAGAAAACAGTAAGAGTTAGAATGGAGGAGGATCCTGTGTGGTAGATACAGCTGCTTGCAGAAGCCAGAGGTCAGTAAAGGAATTTCTCATTGCCAGCATTGGGCTACTGCTTCAGGTTGTTGGTCAAAGTCCCAAGGCCCCCAAACAACATAGGCAACTGCCACTGCTGTTGGTTGCTCACTAGACCTGACTAATAAATAAGACCCTGTTGCATATGGTCACAAAACAAAACAAAAAAGCAAGTTGAAACTGGACTGGCAGCTCATCCATGCTAGTACCCCTCACAGTCCTCAGATGTGCCATTTAGGCTGTTCCAGGGAAAGCCACCAAAGGTTTCATTCAACTATGTATTCTCCATGCACAAAGCCAAGCAAGATGCAGCCACTAGTGCAACAGTGACTTTCCCACTACTACAGAAGAGATAATTGCTTTCTGACTAGATCTGAAGCCCTGCTGCTATGAACTGGTTCGAAATCTTCTGGTTGAGGAGATCATAAGCCCTAGTAACAATGTTATTGCTGTTCTTTAGTTAAATGAGCATTATATACTCACCAAATTGCTTTCTAAATAACTGTATCTCTAGATTAGTGTTAGCTTTGGGTCAGTGAAGCTTCTTTTTGCAGTAGTCAGTAGTCTATATAAACTAATAATTGGTCAAAGTGTTTAGGATAAGTAGCCATTGAATGGCCAGTTATAACTGAGACATGTATATCAACCCCTTCAAAGCTCAGGGAATATCACAGAAGTGGGGTAAAGAATGTTAGAGCACTGGGTTAGAGTGGTGGTGGCACACGCCTTTAATCCCAGCACTCAGGAGGCAGAGGCAGGTGGATCTCTGAGTTCAAGGCCAGTCTGGTCTACAGAGCTAATTCCAGGACAACTTCCAAAGCCACAGAGAAACCCTGTCTCGAAAAATCAAACAAACAAACAAACAAAAAGAAAAGAAAACCAAAACACAAACAAATAAAAAAGAATGTTACAGCACTAGAGGAAGGGATGGCCCATGTAGAACAGAGTCAAGCTATGATTACCTTCACAAGATCTGCATAAAAGAGGAGAAAATGGGGTCAACAGTGGTGGTGCAAGCTTTTAATCCCAGCATTTGGAAAGCAGAAGCGGCAAATCTATGTGAGTTTGAAGCCAACCTGGTCTACAGAGATTTTAGTGATGAAAAGGATGGGAAGATAGAGGGAAGGGATTAAAAAAAAAAGAAAACAGTAAAAGTGTGGGATACATCCCTTCAACTTGTTAGCCAAGGTTGTCACAGAGACCCTGAAAGCAATACAAGCTATTTCCATTTGGTAAGACCCTACTATGGAAGAGGTCCCAGAGGACATGGAGAAATCAAGTTAGTACTGATCTAGCTCATTACTGGTTAGCTTCACAGTACTGGAAGGTACTATGCATGCTGCCAGAGATAAGTCATCAACTGTGTTAGCTAGAGAAACACTCTGTGAATTACAGTAATAAGTGGCTTAGCAAAAATACACACATGGGTGCAATGCTGGCAAGGATATTATAGGGATAATACATGCCTGGTACTGTGAACCTGACCAGGAACCAATGTTTGGGGGAGCTCATATGCCACAGGAGGGATCCTACTACTATTATTCTGTTAAATGAACATAATACCAAACTGGTCTCTAAATTGTTAACTCTAAACTACAGATCAGTGCAGCTCTCAGATATTAGAAGTGTCTTTGTGTCAGTGGGTGGCAGTTAGCACAGAAAGTCAAAACTGTTCAAAGTGAAGAGACTCAGTCACAAATGAGAGATCTATATAATGATCTTTCCCCTCAGGGCTCATGGGACATGCCAAAGAACGAGCAAAAAAGTAAAGACCAGGTCAGAAGGACTGATCTAAAATAGAGTCCTCTGGACATGACAGGACTTCACTCACGAGCATTAACAGCTCTGGCTGCCTGCACAAGACCAGAACTAAATCAAGGCCATCAACACCCCATCATAAAATGGGGAAAAGCTCACAAACCCCCACCTCTAACTGAGGAATTATTGACAGCTAATGGTCTCTGAGGGAGGGAAAGTCAGTTTTCCTTAGGAGTGTGGCTCCTGGTAGGTTGGCCTCACAACAGATAACGTCCTATACCCATGAGCATATGGGTAGCACAAACTGAACTCACTGGGTTTATAATAATAATAATTTAAAAAAAACATGAACTTGGGAGGAGTATTAAATAAGGACTATTAAATGAACATAGCATCAAACTATGGATGGGAGGGACATGATGAATATGATTAAAACATACAGTATGAATTTATGAAATTCTCGAAACAAAAACTTATTTTAAGACAAAGATCAGCACAAAATTTGTTCCTTCAACATTGTGTAGTAGAAGGTGAAAGGCACACAAGCCCCCACTACTTCCCTGGGGATTTATTTATTTGTAGTTAATGGTTGATGGTAGATTGTCCAGGTTTGGTTACCAGCACCCACATGGCAACTCACACCATCCATAACTACAGTTACAAGGGATCTAACACCTTCTGACCTCTTGGGATAAGAAACACACAGTGCACTTACATCCATGCAGGCAAAACACTCAAAATTAAAAATGAATATATCCTGGGCAAACAAAGATAATGAAATTTAACTGGTTTTTGTTCTCTCTAAAACAGAAAATACTATCTGGTATCTATTCTCAAAAGGTCATATGGCAATCAAGTGTGAACAATGCACATCATGTCTTCTGCTGTGGTTGAGATAAACCTTAGCGCCTCTCAAAGGTTGTGTATTAGAGGACTGGACTCCAGCTTGGCACCATGGAAAAGTACTAGTAGAAATTCTTAAAAGGTGGGGCCCAGTGTGAACCCTCATCTTACGGCCAGTGGGGCATGCCATTTACAGGACTCTAGTTTCTTTCTCTTTCACATCCAGGCCACCTGACAGGCAGTCTGACTTTATCACACGCTGCTGTCATGATACGCTGTCACAGAGCTAAAACCATAGGCAATCACAAATCAAAAATTCTAAAAAAAACTGTTGAGCCAAAACATGACTTTCTCTTAAAAGCTTAACACCTCAACATTTATTGTTACAAGTGAAAGCTGACTGACATCATCTGTCACAGCAGATAGTCACCAATTTTTCTCCTTCTCCCTTACAGTACACACAATAGGGGCAAAGCACCAATGGAAAAGGAAAATATCACTGCTATGAATAGAACCCACAATTAAAAATCATTAGGAATGAAGGGGCCTTAGAGGCAATGCCTCTATTGTCTCAATAAATAGCAAGTAAGTCAGGGCATTCACACAATGTCCATGGGTGATTTTACATTCCAGAAAAATCTGCCCAACCCTAGCTATGGCTCTAGATGTACAAAGACATGCAGGACCCACAGGAAAGTAACTGCTAAATTTGCTAAAACAAGATGGGACAGTCCTGAAGTTCCTACTTCGTGAAAGATTCTGCCAGACATTCTGCAGGACACATAGAAAAATGACTGACAAACTGCCAATACAGGCAGACAGGTAGACTGAGAAATCTACTAGACACACCATGACCTATGGGCTAAAGACGGATGCTCCAACATTACAAAGAAACTTCAGGTTACTGTCTAGGCAGCGAGATGTCTCTGTCAATTCTAGAGTTTACATATTATCCTTCTGTGGTCTTTGATGGAGTTGAAGACAGATAGTTATGGTTATAGTTTCTAAGTTATAATAATAAATTACATATAAAACTTTAGACTCACAAAGATAGGATAGATGATAGAATATTTTCATTAAATTTTGCCAAATGTTAATGGATAAATATTGTTAACTATAGTTCTTATTTGATAACTGTTTTGTTATATATAATTTTACTATGTTAAAGTTAAAATCCTTCTTTTTATTTAGACAGAAAAGAGGAGCTGATGAGGGAAGTCCTGTGTAAATGTTTCTTATTGATTGATGAATAAAACACTGTCTGGCCAATGAGGCAGGAAGATAGGTAGAACTAGGACGAGGAGAATTCTGGGGAAGGCAGGAAGACAGTCATCATCCCTCCACCCCCAGAACAGTCGCCATGTGAACCACCAAAGGAGTCAGAGGCTCGGACCCTTCTCCAGTATAAGACCACCATGTGGAAATACTGAAATTCATAGAAATGGGTTAATAATTAAGAAAGAGCTAGTTATCAGCCAACAGATTCATAATTAATATAGCATCTATGTGTTTATTTAGAGTTCAAGGGAAGTGGAACCCTGACAGGCAAGAAAGCTCACATTGTGGGGAACCAGTGGGATGGCTCAGTGGGTAAATATGTTTGCCGTCAAACCTAGCACCAGAGTTCTATACCATGAACCTCCATGGGAGAGGAGAAAACCTACTCATTCAAGTTGTGCTCTGACCTCCACACATGTGATATAAGCCCCTTGCCCAAGTAACTAAGAGCAAGTGAATGTTTCTTAAGTTACTTTAGGCCTCTTTATCTAAACTGCTCAAGTCAATACTATGAATGTTGTCTTATACTTTACAAAAGTGCTATAGTTTCATTCAACGTTAGTATCTTCCCACTGATTTCCAGTCACATTAAAACATTCAGATTTTAAATCAATTTAACCCAAACAATTTCTCCAAAGAAATATACCCCTACCTTAAGAAAAGGTACAAGATGTGGTTGAGGTGCAGACTTGAGTTCAATATATAGTTTCCTAGTAAATTCTTCTGCTTCAATTTCTGCATCCTAAGAAATGAGAGAAAGATGGCACTTTTAGATATACAAATTTATTTTATTTATTTTACATCCTGACCACAAACACACACACACACACACACACACACACCTGTAATTTACAAATATTTTAAGAAACAAAATTAGTTGTAGTGGTGAGCCTGTGAGGCAAGCTACTCAGGATGATGACACAGGAGCATCACTTTAGTGTAGGAGATGAAGGCCAGCATTGACAGCAGTGAGCCAGTCCCTTAAAAATTAAATGAGGCAAAGTACTTAATTCATGATTGTAGACAAGTGGTAAATTACAACTTCAGAAAGACTTTTTATCTTATGTCACCAGAGAACTAAATGAATAAGAAGTAGACATGTCCAATCAGAGACTACAGTAAACACAGTATTCTTTTCATAAAGAAGATTCCAATATGCAAAGAATCGTAATTCTGGAAGATTTATAACTTTCTCTGAAATAGCTTCCTAGAATGTAAAGCTTTTTTAAAAAGACTGTTGAGGGTAGCCTGGCAGTGGTGGCCCACACCTTTAATCCCAGCACTTGGGAGGCAGAGGCGGGCAGATCTCTGTGATTTCAAGGCCAGCCTGGTCTACAAAGTAAATTCAGGACAGCCAGGTTTGCTACACAGAGAAACCATGTCTCAAAAAACCAACAAAACAAAATTGAAATAACAAGGAATACTCATGTAACATAGAGGTAGCTTGTGGTTTTAAGAGCTCGCACTGTAACAAAGACCTGAATTTGGATTCCAACATCAACATAACAATCAAATATAATCTCCCATGTCCCAGTGCTACCAGGGCAGTGACAGGATTACTAAGGTACGCTTGCTACCAGTTTAGCAAAAAGACATGAACTCCAGGTTCAATGAGAGACCCTGCTTCAAACAAATGAAGCACAGTGATACAGAAGGGTACTTGACACACCCTTCTGGCCTCTGTGTATGAAATGCACATACACACTTACACATACCACAGTCACACACACACAAGATGTAAGGTGGGTAGGTAGACAAAGGCATAGATTTACAGCTATATGTAATACATATGCAAAATTATGTAACATAAGGAACCAGTTACCTTAATACATTAAATATATGGAAATACATTACATATCTAGAAGAGCTGCATAATTCTAATAATCAACATTTTGTTTTAAACAATGCATGCTATTACAAAAATTATACACCAGAGTAACAATTACCTAGTAGACTAAACAATATCCACACAGATCTAGAAAAAGCTACCAAAATGCTCAATATTCTAACAAGAAAACAATAATTCGCTAACTCTGACAACAAATTCTCCAACAACCCATCACAAAATAGAGTAAGAAAAGAATATCTGGCTGCTTTCTATTAAGTACAACATCAAATTTACAAATGCAAATCAATGTCATTTCCTACTCAGTTTCATTAATTTGGAAAACATATTTTTTTCTTTAAATTTTACATATGTTAACATTCAACAGTTTTGTTATTCTTCATTGAATAGCTTTAATACTTAGTTTTAATTCCAGCCCCCAAAAAATTGTTGAGGGCTTATTTATCTTTAAGAATATTAAGATATTCTATACTAAAATTTTGGGAACTACTGTCTGTTGGTCTGAGATCATAGATTTAAAAAGGATATTTAATGAGTTGTTATCCGTCCACAAAATATACATTTAAATATTGGCATAAAAATAATATAAATTCATATTATGTTTATCTTAGACATATGATAAAATTAAACACATTAAAGATATTTATATGTGATTTTCTATATGTGATTACAAAGCTTTAATGACACAAATTTAGCAAGTATATTTGAAACATCATTTCCCTTTGAAATGTGTCCTATGGACAGTCCTAACTTACCAGAAGTTGCTCCACGAGCTTCCTCACATTCCGTCCCATTTCAGGGGATTGTGATCCACTACATGCTAGTTTTATTAACATTGAAAGGAAGTTTTTGCATTTTTTCACATTTTCCAGCACTGTCTGATATAGAAAAATAATCACAAATATTAGCAAACAGGAAAGAGAATATAGCAAAAAAAAAAAAAAAATATTATAAGTGAAAGTTTACCGGAGAAAGATTAGTCTGAGCAGCTACTGAGGTCTCTGCTTTGAGATTGGAATCATTTGAGGGTGTAGATATTGCTCCCAAACTTGATGGCTTCAGGATAGTTACAGTATTCACTGGCTTGACAGGAGGTACAGCCACAGACTGAAATTAATTCAACATAAAGTTAAATATGTATTGCTATGTTACTGTAGTGGAAACTTCACTTTACACTAAAAAGACTACAAATGAATTTCGACATCTCTGCTTTCAAGCGGTACTCTAAAAACCTAAGGCACTTTATCCAAACTCTGAGCTAGAGCAGATCTTCATTCCACTCCCAGTTACCATTCTACTCTTCATTGTCATTTATTACAGTATTAGTTACCAGCAAGTTACTTAATACTGATACCCATTTACAAAAGCAAAAATAGGAATGAAATTTACTGTCTATCCCTAGGGTAGTCTATGAAAAACAGTGTCACACACAAAAAAAGTCCTTTAAATGTTAATAAAATATATTTCCAATCATCAGAGCCCACATAAAAGCTGGGCATGGTGGTGTACTCCTGTAATTCCAATGTTTGTAGGGTTGAGACAGGTAAATCTCAGGGTGGAATATTCCTCACTATAGGCCAAATGACAAATTACAGGTTCAATAAGAAACCCTGTCTAAAATAAGGTAAAAGCAATTGAAGAAACTTCATTCAATACATGTGCATACACAGGTGATCACACAAGACAAGACACACATGCGCACACCCACTCGTGCACACTGGCACTTCTCTAAAAATGTATTTGTAAATCTTCATATTTTTATGCACTTTTTATGTACCAATTGCCAACTAATTTATATATGCTCAACTACAGTGATCTCATGTGAACTATCAGAAAAAGCACAATAGCTTTATAAGAGAGGAATGTCTTATTTCCACACTGAAAGGAATTCCATTAATATCTACATGTATAAAAATGAAGTGGCATGACTCCAGCACCCCCATAGGACAGAAAGGTTCACGCAAAAACTATAAGCTAAAGTACAAAATTGGAAATAAATTAGAATAATATATAAATAAATACATATAATAATAATAAATTTAAAAAATTAGAGATAAAGCAACAAATAATACTACACATTACACAACATAAGAAAAGCAGGGTAGAGGAAATAATATGTACAGAAGATTAAATATCTGCAGCATAACTTTAACTGAGATGCTTACATTCTCAAGAAACTTTTTTTTGAGGGGGCAGTAGAGGGAGGGGATGAGAAGATGAGGAAACAGGACAGTTGAGTTGAGGGAGGGACAGAATGGGAAAACAATGAAAGATGTCTTGATAGAGGGAGCCGTTACAGATTAGGGAGAATCATGGGGCTAGAGAAAATTCCCTGGAGTCCATAAGGATGACCCCAGCTAAGATTCCTAGCAATAGTGGAGAGGGTGCCTGAACTGGCTGTCTCCTGTAATCAAACTGGTGACTACCTCAACTGTCATCATAGAGCCTTTATCCAGTAATTGATGGAACCAGATGCAGAGATCCACAGCCAAGTCCCAGGGTGAGCTACAGGAGTCTAGTTGAAGAGAGGAAGGAGGGATCATATGAACAAGGGAGGGGGATGTCAAGATTATGACTGGGAAACCCACAAAGATAGCTGACCTGAGCTCATGAAAGCTCATAGACTCTGTACGACAGCTGGGGAGCCTGCATGGGACAGAACTAGGTCCTGTGGATGTGGGTGACAGCTATGTGGCTTGCTCTGTTTGTGGGGTTCCTGACAGTAGGACTAGGATCTATCCCTGATGCTTGGGCTGGCTGGCTTTTTGGAGCACATTCCCCATGGTAGGATGCCTTGCTCAGCCTTAATACATGGAGTAGGGTCTTGGTCCTACCTCAACTGAATGTACCAGCCTTTGTTGACTCCCCATGGAAGGCCTTCCCTTTACTAAGAGTGGATGAGAGGTAGGATGGAGGAGGGAGGTTGGGGTAACAGGAGAAGAGAAAGGAAGGGGACCTGTGGTTGGTATGTATAATAAATTTAAAATAAAAAACATTGCTTGCAATTAGGAAAAAGAAAAGTTCTTTTTGTACAAGACCAGATAGGTGAATGGAAGCCCAAATTTTCCCTTCAGATAAACTGGTACATATATCAGGTGCTCTGATAAATTGGGAAGTAAATTAAAAATATTGATTAATTATGACAAAAACCAATGATGAAATTCTGGGTAAAATTAAGGGGCTGTAGAGATGGTTCTGTGGTTACTACCACTTGCTGCTCTTAGAAAGGGCCTGGGCTCATCCCTATCACTTACAAGGTGACTCACAACTGTGTCTAACTCTAGTTATAAGTGATCCAAACCCTCTTTTCTGGCTTCTACAAACAACATGTGTGCAGATGGTACATATACATATATGCAGGCAAAGCATGCATACATGTAAAATAATGTTTTTAAAGAATGAATTTAAATAAAGTTCAATTTCATTAAACAGAAAGCTTCAAACACAACATCCAAGTGAATTCTTTCTCCAATCTAAACTCTTCCACATTTTCCAGAGTCAAGTCCCATGACATGGCTTCTGAATCCTTCTGAACACTATTAAACTTTTATGTTTGCAAGTGTAAGGAAGGCTCTTCAGAAATAAAAGTGGTTCACATATCTGAAATCCTATCACTTAAAGGTAGAAATAGAGAATGAGTAGTTTAAGGTCAATCTTAGCTACACAGTAAGTTTAAGGCAAGCCTGAACTACATGAGACCCTATTTTGAAATTAATAATTAGCCATATAATCTAAAGCACTGCATTTAGACAAGTGTGGCTTTTAACTTTAACTAGTGATTGATGGCCTTCAATGCCTGGTGGAGGTGGTTCCTCAGAGCAGTACTGTCCACTGAGTACGAAGCAAACAGTATCCATTGAAATGTGATTTCATGAAGTATACTGCTGTCTGTGAGCAACGGAAGTATTCATAAAATGTTACTTCCTTGTCAATATTTTATTGTTTTCACCTTTTCCACCATGTTCTGGTTTGATTCTTAATTGGCATCCAAAGGCCCATACTCTAAAGCTTGTAGCCCAGTCCCATGACACTAATGAGTGGTGACAGAACACAGGGGAAATAGAACTTAGTGGCCAGTCATTACACATGTGCCCTTGAAGGGAAGGAGCTACTGGTAATCACTTCTTCCTGTCTTCAGCTTCCTGCTATAAAGTGGAACTACCCTATGTGCAATAATCTTTTTGTGCACTGTAAAGCTATGTCTCTGCCTAAAGAGCCTTCTGAATGGTTTAATAAAGAGATAATCAGCCAATAGCTAGGCAGGAGATAATAGGTGGGACTTCCAAGGAGGACTCTGGGAAGAGGAGATTCGGATTTTCTAAGTCAGAGGTACCATATTGAGGAAAGGTAAAAAGCCATGTGGCAGAACATAAATTTAAAAATATGGGTTACATTATAAAAGCTAGTTGGAAACAAGCCTAAGCTAAAGACCACCCTTATATAATTAATAAGTCTCCATATTATTTGGGAGTTGGTGGTACAAAGAAAAACTCACTATACTGCACCCTGCATCATACACAGGATTTGTACTGTGCCACATAAGGCCTATAGGTGATGAACTAAAATCTGTAAAACTGAGACATAAAACTTTCCCAATTGATTTACCTCAATTACTTGTTACAATAATGGAAAAATAACATACTACAATAAAAAGTTATCTTCCATAATCCCTTCTAATATAAGGTTCTCTCTGTACTTTACCAAACATGTGCAACTTCTATGCTGAACTATGAAGGGCATAGGGAGATACCTAAACATGGTGTTCCCACTTCAGTATTGAATAGATACAGTACTGAATAGATTGAGTTTCTTAAACTCAATCATAACTGTGTCTTAGAATCAAATATGAGCAGTCAGTCAATGGTATTTCCAATATTAGCAAGATTAAATTGCATTCAAACATCTTGGAGACAGAAGAAAAAAAAATAACAGCAGGATTACATGTGAAACAGGAGCTGTGTGAAAATCACTTATGTTTACTAGAATATGATACATTTCAAGAAGATCATTTTCTGTACCTATCTGAAAGAACAATTACATTTGGCTTGCTCATGTTCAATTAGAAATAGTAAGTCTAGCAGGGCACTGGTTGTCCATGCCTTTAATCCCAACATTCAGGAGGCAGAGGCAGGTGTATCTCTGTGAGCTTCAAGAACAGTCACATCTACAAACTAAGTTCCAAGGCAGCCAGAGCTGATATACAAAGAAACACTGTCTTGAAAAACCAAAAGGGAAAAATGATGAAACACTAATTCTAAATTGGATCATTTAGACATTTATATACTTAACAATAGGCCTAATTATATCTTCATCATTTAAACATAAACACTGAACACAATGTTTCAAAGTAGGTTTTTGTGTCATATGAACAATATGACATGTTTACCAAGTCATTAAAAACAAAACAAAACAAAAAAAAAAAACCCACTGACACCTATTAGTAGAAAAATACATACTTTCTAGAGAGAATCTACACTCAGGCATAATCAGTACTCTAGTTTAAGAATAGTTTCCAGAGCTAGGACTGACACTAAAATCAACCTAGAAATCAGGCCAGTTTCTTAGCCTCTCTAACTTATTCTCACATATAGACAGAGATAGTAGTCTAATAAGGATGAAATGAGGTAGTTAATGGATTGCAGGATATATAAGATACCTAAGAAGTGTAAAGAACACTACGTGTTCATTAACAGCTAGCCATTACTTTTTAAAGCACTGTTTTAAATCAGATTTGCTGCTTATGACCCTAATTAGTGGAAAAGGTATATAAAAAGAGTAAATTAAAAAATTTAAGAACACCAACAGAGGGATTACTGATCTGTCAGTACAGAATTCTATCTAGGTGAGCACCAGGAAGATGCATCCTCTTCATGACAGAAGGAAACACGACACTGTTCTCCAGACCATGGAACCCATCAATGGCTCATATACAGCATTACTCAGAAGCTGCCATCACAGCACAATAGAATAGATTATAGCAGGCACAGATAAACTGGGCCAATATTCTTATTAAGGATGGGATTCTATCCTCCAAGACTCAGGATAATCACTAAGTCACAACATTCTACATGGTACTTTGTTCCCCGGGGTACTAAGGAGCAGACATATGAATAGACCCTTAGTCAGTCCTAATAACTATTAGGAGACTCTGTGCTTTCCATTTCTACTCATGGAGACACATTTCCCTTAGGAAACCAGACACTACAGCTGTCACCTGGTATTTCAGGTGCCTACATACTTCAGAGACCAGCAGGAAAGATAAGTCTGAACCTTGAGAGGGGTAATTAACTAATCATCTGAAAAGGTGTAGAGTTGCTATCACATAATAGAGGATACTATGGTTTGTTTAAATATCCCCTCCAAAACTCATGTTAAAATATAACTGTCAGTATACTGGTATCAAGAAATGAGTCCTTTAAGAAGTGATCAGAGTATGAGTACTTCTTAATTGTAAATGGATTAAGGCTGCTATTAAAGGAGTAGGTATTCATTCCTAGGAGAAGCATCCCAGAAGTTCAGTTCCCACCATACCTCTCCTCTGTGTTACCTCTCCTCTTTCTGGGACAAGATGCTCTCTTTATATAGGATATCTCTGCCTTGGGTTAGACCCTCCTCCAGATAATGACATCATGAACTTAGACTTCCCATCTCCAGAATCATGAGTCAAACAAATTTCTATTCATCATATATTACTCAGTCTGTGCTACTCTGCTATGAGAGGAGAAAAACAGAAAACCCAAACTAGGGCAGGAACATATCCACAGAGGGATACAAGGAGCTCTATGAGGAAAATCAGATTACACTAGTAGGTAATTCCCAAGACCAGCACAGTCAGTAGGTAAGAGTGAGGGTAATAGAAGGTGGACAGAGAACTGACAGGATTTGTATAAGCTGCATAGTCTTCCCTTTTAACCTCTTTGTTTCCAAAGGAAAGAAGTCCACTAGCATCCCAGGACAGTTGTCTATAACATATAAAAGTATATATACAAGTGACATAAGATGTAAATGTCAATGAACCATTGCAAGGAGAGACTTGTACTATCTTGGCTGCTACAATTCTATTGGTAGTCATCCATTAATTTTACACGAAGGTACAATTTCCCCAAGGGAACACAGTAAAGCCCAGTGGACAATGCTAACAAGGTACATATGCTCTTAACACTCTCTACTAGGTTGCCTGAAACTATCATTCATGAGTCTAGCTTAAACATGCTCTCCTTCTCTTCACAAGAACTAATTTCTAAATAATAACTTATCCATCATAATCTATTTTAGCGCCTACTTCTGGAGTCTGTAACACATGGTTTTTAGATGCATTATATTACTGTAATGCATTTATGCAATGGATGTCTAATAATAAATTATTACGTTTTCTTGTTTCTACATCTCCAATATTTCAGTCTGATAAACTGCACCATATATTATATGCCTTAAGTCACAAAGTTAAACAAATATCTGGCAAGAAATAATTGTATAATAGTGAGAAAACAGCTAGTGAGTGTGTGCGCGCAAACACACATACACATATACACACTTACTTGTCCTGAAGAACCACTGGAGGCAGTGGTTACCACAGTAGTTCCCATCTGTGTCAAATTATTAACAGGAGCCACTGCTACTTGTTTCATTAATTGTGAGCTAGAATTCTTGGGGGGAAAAGACAAAAAAGACAAAATTATTGATATTAGTCATTTGGGTTTTTTATCTTTTATTTTGTTTTATTGAGATCTTGGCTGGCCTAGATTTCAATACATAAACCAGAATGGCATGGAACTCACAGAACTCTACCTGTCTCTGACTCAAAGCACCTACCACCACACCCAGTCAATATTAATCACTTCAAATCAGTCAGTATTGTGAACAAAATGAAAAGGCATTAGGAAATGAACATTCTATACTATAAACTTAACGAGTCAATTGGCCAGCTGACATTTCTTAAAGGAGACAACTGATTTAAAAAATAACCTTTTCTTTTATGTTAATTTTCCAATACAGTAAGATCTACAACAGTCAGCATTAAAGTATTAAACTTGGACCAAGAATACTGTTCAGGAAAGCTCTTGCCAGGCAACCCAGACAATCTGAATATGATCCCCAGAACCCATGGTGAAGACAGAACTCAGTCTTAAAGGTTGTCCTCTGACCACCACATGACCACTGTAGCATGTGTGCACCCACACTCATATATACATATCATACACACTAAGGAAATAAAATCTTAAACTTAGTTTGTTATACACAAAACATACACAATCTAATTTTTAAATGATAAACAAAAATCTGTTAACCCATAGCTAAACCAAATTAGAAGGAAAATGCACTGCTGACAGAGAAAATAAAACTAACTGAGCAAATAGATCAAAACTGGAAGTAGGACCAGCAAGATGGCACCAAAGTCAAAGAACTTTGCCACCAAAGCCTGGTGACCTGGGTTCCACCCTGGGAGGAGAAAAGTGACTTCTGAAACTTGTCCTCTGACCTCTACAAGTGCAGCTATGGCATGTATATTATTCCCTACACACACACACACACACACACACACACACACACACACACACACACACACTAAATGTAATGATAAAGTTTAAAAAAGAAAAAGGAGGAAGAGGGAAGGGAGAGAGGGAGGAAGACAGTCAACCTTTGACACTGGACATCTACCTCAATTGTTCTGCACCTTAATTTTTGGGACTGTATCTCACTAACCCTGGAGCTTTTGAATTTGGCTCCACTGGCTGGACAGTAAGCCCTGGGAAGCCTCTTGACTTTAGTGCTGTGATCACAGGTGCATTTAATACACCTAGCATTTGTTTAATGAGTTCTGGAGAACAAAATCAAATCCTCAAGCCCAGGCTACACGTACTTTACCAACCGAACTATCACCCCAACGGCCCCAACAGGCCCACAGGGAATGGCACTATTGGAGGTATGGCCTTGATGGAAGAGGTGTGTCACTTGGGGCAGGCTTTGAGGTCTCAGATGCTCAAGCCTAGCCAGTGTGTATCTCTCTTTCTACTGCCTGTGGCTTCAGATACAGAACTCCTTCTCAAGTAACATGTCTGCCTGACTGCTACAATAGCCAATAGCCTGCTAATGGGAAACGTCATTCTGTAAATATGTATCTCTTATTGGTTAATGAATAAAGCACTATTGACCAATAGAGAAGAAAGATAAGTGGGACTAGGAGAGGTGGAGGATTCTGGGAAATATGTGTGATCTCAGGAGGAGAGGACGTGAGTAAGATAAGATCATATAGAATACATATATTAGTAACTATGGATTAATATTTAAGACAGAACTAGCCAATAAGAAACACTAGTAACAGGCTTTATAATTAATACAATGTCTTTGTGTGTCATTTTGGGACTGACAAGGCTGTGGGACTAGGCTAGCAGGAAAGTGCTAGTAACATCCTGCCATGATAATTAAAGTTTTTCTTTATAAGAGTTGTCATGGTCATGGTGTCTCTTCACAGTAACAGAAGCCCTAACTAAGACATAAGATTAATTTATAAATTCACTGATACAAACTAAATTTCAGCCACATAAAAAGATCAACACCTATATAAAAAACGTCATTTCAAAAAAGGCAAAACTAGTGAAATATTACAGCAGATTCTATATTACTTGGAAGTAATTCATATAACATGGATGAAAATGAATACTTTAAATAGGAGTCTCAATAACTACAAATTAAAAGTGAAACAGAGACAGGGAGATGGCTCACTCAGTAAAGCGATTTTTTCATAAGCATGAAGATCTGAATTCATACCCCAGCACCAGGTAAAAAAGTAAGCACACACACAGACAAAAGAACAGAACAAACAGGTGGGGGGATTGCTGGGGAGGCAAAGACAGGAGTACCCTGGGAGTTTGCTTCCTGGCCAGTCTAGTCCACCTGTGAGCTCTGGGTTCAATGACAAACCTGTCTCAAATACACTGAATTTGAGCCTCTGGCGTGCATATACTCATAGGAACATACATGGAGGCACACAACCATGTGAATACACATTCCAACACCCTGACCCAGAATAGCTTGTTTGTTTGTTTGTTTGTTTGTTTGTTTATGGGGGGGTTGAGACAGGGTTTCTCTGTGGCTTTGGCTGTCCTGGAACTCGCTTTTGTAGATCAGGCTGGCCTCAAGTTCACAGAGATCGCCTGCCTTTGCCTCCCGAGTTCTGGGATTAAAGGCGTGTGCCACCACCACCAGGCAGTTACTTTCTTTCAGCAGACACATACTGTCCCTTTGAACAATTCCTCTGAGGATAATAAAATCACTGAGTATGAAGGTACACTTTTCATTATTTTGGCATTTACCAAGTATCAAAACTAAATTGGCACTTAAATTTAAAAATTGAGCAAAATTGACTCAAATTTTTACTGGCAAACATGTCCATATCTATATGAAGATAGTAGCTGGAAACTAAGAAAATTAAGACAGATTACCGGCACTGTACAGATCTTGACTGTTTGAGTGTTTGCTGGTACTGCTGGCCTTGGAGTTAAGTTACTTGTGGTCTTCGCTCCTGTCACAGCTTGCTGAGGAGATACCAGCATCAACTGACCACTGTTACTTTTGATCAAAACTGTTCCTATAATTAAAAGAAAAGCAAATGTGACTCTAGCTCATAAATGAACACAAGAATCACATACTTTTGTTCCCCATTCCAATACTAGGAAATGCTAGGAATAAATGGTTAACATATAATGAATGCTCCGTTCACTAATTACCATAAGATGGCAAAATTTTTTCATTCAAAGCTATTTAAGCTGAGCATGCAGCACACACCTGTAATTCTAAGACTAAGAAGCTGAGCGAAAAGGAATACAGGCCCAAGGTCAGATGGGGGTACACAGTAAAAGCCTCTTATAAAAGTAAGAGTTAGCTAAACAAAAATGTTTTTAATCTCAGCATATGAAAAGATAATCCTGAAGTAGGAAAAATACTTTTCTTTGATGATATTGATACTATAAACTACATTAAGATAGATGGATGTTCAGTAGTACTTGCTGATCTTGCAGAGAACTGGAGTTTTGCCTCCAGCACCCATATGGAGGCCTACAACCCTCTCTTTAAGTCCAGTTCCACAGGACGAACGCCCTCTTCAAGCCTCTGAGAACTTTGCACACAAGTGGTCCAGACATACATGCAGGCAAAAGAATCATACACACAAAACATCACTAAAAGATAATATAGGAACAGCAAAGTACTACATAAGCTGACCAAGCAAACAGAACAGAAAAAACCCCAGAAGACATATCATATAGATTGAGCATCCCTCATCCAAAATGCCTCTGACTAGAAATTATTTCAGATTTTTAGAATATTTGCCTAGACTTTTCCAGAACATCTTTTACCTGAAACAATGAAACCAATATGCTCCAAAATCCAAAACATTCCAAGCATGACATTTTATAGTGAAGAATGGAATCTACCCTGGGTAGAGGCATATCATTCTCTTTTCATAGTTAATTCCATTGGATGGACTAAGGATCTAGTAAGGGATCATCCTTCGGAAGGCAGGGTCACCATTAGACAAAGTACTTTTCCCTCCCAGAATTGCCACTCCCCAGGGGTACCCCTCAGCTGGCACAAAAAGAAAGGTTGAACCCCAAACACCCTAACTCCAGTGCTTTTATAAGTTATATCTCTGTTGGGAGAAAAAAAAAAAAGTGGGAAAGTCCACACAACAGCTTGCTCCTATACAGTGAAGATGTCACTCCAAGAGAAACATTCAGGAATTGATTCCCCCCAAAATGCTGGAAAATTACATAAATTATGGAATACTAAAAAAAAAATCTTCTTAATACAAACAAAAGGATGAAAACTAGGGACTAGAAAACAAAAATAATTATCAACACTAAATTCAAGTATATCAAAAGTATAGAACTAAATAAGCAAATACCCAATCATTTGCTATTTTCCTAAGACAGATTTAGAAACACAGAAAGTTTGAAACTGGGCATGGTAGTAGTTCAGCATGTGAGAGGCTGAGAATTTAAGGGTATCCTGGTGTAAACAGTGAGCTTGAGGCCAGTCCAAGCTAAATAGAAATACCTACTCTCAAGAAAGAAAAAGTTAAATGAGAAAAATATCACACAAGAGCAACCAGAAGAAAGCTAAACTGGTCATTATATCAAACAAAACAGAGTCAAGCAAAAAACATGATGAACTGTGATGTGGAAATATAAGTTGAATAAACCCTTTCTTCCCCCCCCCCAACTTGCCTTTTTTGGTCATGGTGTTTCATCAAAGCAACATAAATACTAAGACATTCATCAAGGGAAGGGATATGCACAATTAGCAAAGACTTACATAATCCATGCTTGTCAATCGAAACAAAACTAAATCTCTTAGCAACCAGACCCCTCTTCTCAAAAGGAAGTCCCAAACAATTATTTAGGTCCTTAGTACTCTCAATCACATGGCCAACTATGAATAATGATAGTGTCTCTCATATACACTATGGCTTTTCTTTAGAATAAAGTGTGCTACTTTGCATCCTGTGTGTACTCCTGTATATCATTCCTTGAGTAAGAGACCAAGAATCCAGAAACATCAAATTCTATCACAGATAACAAAATTACAAAACATAAAATACATACAGAAAAATTGTAAATGACAAGAAAAATAGTTCAACATTTGTAAAAATTACCATTTTCACTAAGTGTATAGAACTAGATAAACTAGAAGGGGGTATAACCATCTTACACAAGGATTTGTGTAGACTTGGCTGTCCTGGAATTCCTTCTGTAGAACAGGTTGGCTTTAAACCTATAGAAATCCACCTGCCTCTGCCCCAAGAATGCTGGAATTAAAACTGTGTGACACCACTGATTGGCTTCTACAGACTTTTTTGTTTGGTTTTAAGACAGGGTTTGACTATATACCTCTGGCAGTCCTGGGAATTTGATACATACCTAGCTTGTTTTGATTTGGTTTGGTTTTTTGAGACAAAGTCTCACTGTGTAAACCTGCCAGAGTAGAACTAGATTTGTAGACCAGGCTGGCCTCAAACTCACCCTTGTCTCTTTTAAGGTCTTATTTCCTCAATCAAAAGATATGTTATTGTAGATTGAATCAAAAAGTAGAAGTCATCTATTTGTTACTTCCAAGAAACAGACTCCAAGCACTGGACCGAACCAGGACCCTGAAAGTGGGTGTCAGTTAGGAGGCCTGGACAGTCTATGTAGCCTCTGGCAGTAGAACCAGTATTTATCCCTAGTTCATGAAAGGACTTGGGAACCCACTCCCCCATGGAGGAATACTCTCTCGGCCTAAATACATAGTGTAGGGGGGAGTGCCCAGGCCCTGCCCCAAATAATGTGACTCTGATGATCCCCCATGGAAGGACTCACTCTCCCTGGGGAATGGATGGGGAGGTGGGTTGGGGGGGAGGATGGGAGAGATAGGGAACTAGGACAGATGTAAAATAAGTTTCTAATTTAAATAAAAATATATTTAAAAAAGAATAAAGAGAGTATAAGAACAAAAAGAAAATAAATTGAGACATGAACAGTGGGCATGTTGGGGGTGCCTGGTAAAAATGAAGTAGGAACTTGGGTGGATATGATGAAGACGCATTGTAAGAAATGACCAAGGAATAAAAGATATTCTGTGTTCTAAAGAAAAAGAAACCATACACTGGGTAATAGATGACCTTTCCTCTATAAATAATAAAATTTTAAAAGTGAACTAGTATCTATTCCATTCTCTCCCTCACACATAATCTAATGATCTATTTCTTCTGTGAACTGTTGTGTTTCAGATGGCAGAGTCTGATCTGGATGGAAGCTCTTTGATTTTTTTCCATATTCTCATCATTTGTAAATAGTATCCTGAAATAACAGATCTATAAAAAAATCAAGATCCACAAAAACTCTAACTCAATTGCTACAATTCAAATTACCTTCTAGTCTTTTCTCAAATAACCCAGGGTTAGGAAAAATGAGATACACAACCACCACTCTTTCAAAACCAGACTAGGAGCACAAAGCCCTTCCTTAATATGCAGACAGAATTTGTCTCCCTTTAGCATCCACAAGACACGAGGGTTACTTTTACAATCATACAAATTACCTGTAAATATGTACATGTCTTGGCTGTATTTTTCTACATGTACTATAGGCCAAATTCCTCTAATTTTTCATATGGTAATTTCCTATAACAGAGTTTAAAACCATTTCCTGAATTTGAATAAAAAAGAAAAGTAAATAACTAGATTTTAACCACTCTTCACTGGTCAAAACAGAGCTTGATTTGCCAAAAACAGGTTTTATTTCTCTATTAAATTTCATTTTTAAAATCAGACACATAAGATTTCAAGTAACTATTACTTACATATTTGTTGCTAGTTTTATAAATACATTAATTATTTTTTAAAAATAAAAGTGTTAAAGGAAAGTTAAGCCCAAAGTAATCTATGGAAACTGACGGGATGTACTTTTGTATGTTTCTCTCACTGGTGGATGAATAAAACACAGTTGGGCCAATGAGGCAGTGCGATAAGCGGGACTAGGAGGAGGAGTCTGGGAGAGGTAGTCAAGAGGGCCCACCAGAACCGTCGAGATGTAGCTGGCAAAGGAGTTGCAAGTGGGCATTCTCCAGTCAGCCATGTCCACGTGGAAATACACAGATTAGTAGTTATGGGTTAATAATTAAGACAGAGCTAGCCAATAGAGGCCACCAGCCAACAGATTTATAACTAATTTGTGTGTTCATTTGAGGCAACGCAGCTGTGGGATCAGGCTGGTGGGAAGAGCCATCCATTAACAGAAACCCAAAAAATCTATCGGATTTCCAAGAGAAAAATGTTTACCTTATGTACTGTTGTGTTTGTGGCATTAAACTCAAATCCCAGCTTATACTGCAATTATCAGTACAAATATGCTGTTGGCCATGTTAGCTATCCCAACAAAAAAACATAATATATAACATAAATACAAAAACATCTACTTTAATAAATAATAAAAAATAAGCAACCAACCAGGAGGATCTGTGTGTTCAAGGCTAACCTGGTCTACAAAGTAAGATCCAGGACAGCCAGAGCTCTGGTACACAGAGAAAACATGTCTGGGGGTTGAGGGATGACACATCACTGACAACACACAACCAATCTAAATGGACAATAAAGGAATTATTAAATAATAAATTATGCTGCCATTAAAAATTAAACTTTTTGGCTACTGAGATAGCTTAGTAGGTAAATGAGCTTACCACCAAGCCTGAGTACATATGAACTGAAGACCTGGCACTCACATAAAAGGGAACTGACTCCTACAAGCTGTCCTCTAACTTCTATGTGAGCAGCCCACCCAAAAGTATGATAGATAGACAGACAGTCAGATAGACAGACAGATAAAATTCAATTTCTGTTGAGCACAGGAGAACACACCTGTTATCCTAGTACTCTGAAAGCAGAGGCAAGAGGATCACAAGCTCAAAACTATTCTGGGTTACATATCAACACCTTGTCTCCAGAGGACAGAGAATATTGATAAATATTAAGCTTTTGAATTTGTAACAAAAAATGTTATATAACAGTAAGTGAAAAGCAGACATAAAAATAGTATCATAGAATAGAGAAGGCATGTTATGTATTTTCTTCCAAAGACTACACTTTTTAGGTGGCTAAATCAAAATTTTCAACATTCACTGAAAATAGGTTCCTTTGTTTTGTTTTGTTTTTTAATTTTTTGTAACAGCACTTCTCCATGTAGCTCTACTGTCCTGGAACTCACTCTGTAGATCAGGCTGGCCTCAAACTATCTGCCTCCTGACTTCTGGGGTTAAAGGCATGTGCCACCAGTGCCTGGCAATTGTTCCAAATTTGAAATATTATTATAAAAATATTTCAGTGAAGCTGGTATTGTTATTACTATTACAATTTGGTGTTTCTGATGGGAGATGTCATTCTGTAAATATGCTTCTCTTATTGGTTAATGAATAAAGCACTGTTGGCCAATTGGAAAGCAAGATAGGCGAGACTAGGAGACTAGAAGGAGAGAAGAGTAGTAGGGAGGAGATCCAAGATGGAGGACAGAGAGAGAAGAACACCAGCCCCTCTCTCCGGTAAGATAAGACCACGTGGAAATACTTAGATTAATAGAAATGGGTTAATATTTAAGACAGAGCTAGCCGATAAGAAACTAGTAACTGGCTTACAGCTTTATATCTAATATAATGTCTCTGTATGTTATTTGGGGCTGGCACGGCTGGGAGACCAGGCTGACGGGAAACTACTCATAACATGTTTCTACATAGATGTCTCTGGCTGTCCTAGAATACACTATAGACCAGGCTGGCCTCAGACTCAGAGATCTGCCTGCCTCTGCATCCTGAGTGCTGGGATGAAGGGGTGCGTGCCATGCTCAGCCTAGAAACTGATATTTAAAGACTAAGGGAGCTGAGGGTGCTCAGCAGTATTCCACTTGCTTAGAATATACAGAGCCCTGTGTCTATTCTCTAGCATAGCCAAAACCTTTAAGAATTTCCACAAACATCAATACACAACTCAGGAAGCTAAGAATGGTAATTCACATCTGTAATTCCAGAATGTCTATAATCCTAAAAGTAGGGAAGCTAAAGTCAGCCCGGCTACAAAGAGTACATTATGGATGCAGCAAGATGTATGGCAGCCAGAACTAGAGCAAAAGCAAGCAGTAATAATAAGCTGTATAATAGTACCATCCTAGTAGGAAGACTGGGAACACATACTAGGGCAAATTTGACTCCTGTCACTTTCTCTGAAATGATAATTACAGGAACAAAAAGAAGAATAGAAAGAAAAATGAACCATGCTCCTATGCATTAAACAGACTCAGAAATGGCCACAATTGGACCTAAAAGTCCTCTGCATGTTTACTAAAGAAAATAGTGAAACAAAGGCAAATGCCTTCTAGTTCCCCACAAATGCCCCCCTTATCTTTTATTTTTAAACCATACTCAAAAAATAAAAACAACAAAAAACCTGTTGTTGTACATGTTTAAACACGTTTAAGATTATTTAGTGTGGAGAGAAGCATGTATATAAAAAGAGGATAACTTTCAGGAAGTCATTTCTCTCCTACCACCTTGTTTTGAGGCAAGTCCTCTTTTCCTGTCTTTGTCTCTGATCTCACTTAGGATAACAAGGATTAAAGATATATACCACTGCATCCAGCTTTTCACATGAGTTCTATTAAGGCAGTGGCTCTCAACCTGTCAGTCTGACCCCTTGAGGGTGGAGTGACCCTTTCACTGATATTTACATTACAATTCATAACAGAAGCAAAATTAGTTATTAAGTAGTAACAAAATAGTTTAATGGTTGGTGGTTACCACATATATTAAAGGATTGCAGCATTAAGAAGGTTGAAAACCATTGTATTAAGGGAATAAATTAATGTTTTCGTTGCTTGTGCTTTTAGCAGCCAAGTCATTTACCTAGTTCCTAGTTTTGAGACAGGGTCTCACATTGCACTGTAAGCCAAGCTGGCCTCAAACTTGAGGCAATCCTCCTGCAATCTTCACTGCAATTATAGGCCTTTGATGATATGACCTTTGATCTTCCAAGTGCTCAAATTAAAGGGTTGTGTACCTTCAAACCTAGACAAATATTCCTATTTTTAAAAGCAAGTTCTATCCAAAGGAAAATATAAGAGAAGTACTCAAAAGTATTTCTCTTAGTTAACTTAAGGACCGACACACTCATTCTTGAATAACCTACTGTTAATTATCAGCACATCTGAATTGTATACAATTTATAACCTACAGTAAATCAATGCCAATTCATTCTACTGGCTCCTGCTACACACCAGTAGAAATTCCCCCAAGCAACTCATATAAGGACTTAGGCTATGATTTTATTTTGCCTTAATGAAACCCAAGGACATTTCAAACAATTGGGTTTCTTGATTTAGAAAACACAAGTTTTTACTCAGAAATCTTTAAGTTACCTTTCAGCACTGAAGCACTGTAAATATTCATGTGGTAACCTATACAGAGTATAGCTAAATAGACCTGGATTCAAATCCACTCCTGTGAGTTATTAGAATGACATTAGGCAAGTATCTATCCTTACAGACTTCTTTTCCTTATTTACTGGCTGTACATTATGAGGAGAGAATAAAAGAACATAAATAATGTATTAAAAGTGACTAGCATAGCAAGCCCTCAGTAAATAATTTGCTACAACTTATCAACAAGCTTCCCCTCTTGACACAATATTCCATCTTAATACTTTTTTGACTGTTTCTAGAAAAAAAAATTTCAATGACTAGACAAGAATATATATTGCAACAAATCGGTTGGTAATTTCATTCAAATATATATTTACTACTGCTTTGTTTGCTATCCAATTTAGAACTGGCAAACATTGTATCCAGTGATTACTGCTTTTTACAAATGGAGGTACCTTGTGTACTCCACTTGTACCAAACGAGTTTTATGAAATGTGCAGAACATAATGTGCTCTGGGTGTCCATAACCAAATACAACATTAGCTCCCAGCCTTATTCGGATTACTATCGCTGTGATGAAACACCATGACCAAAGCAACTTAGGGAGGAGAGGGTTTATTTCGTTCAGTTCCATATGAAGTTTATCATCAAAAGCAATGAGGACAAGAACTCATGCTGAGCAGGAACCTGGAGGCAGGAGCTGAAGCAGAGGTCTTGGAGGAGTGCTTACTCCCCACTGCTTGCTAAACTTCCTTTCTCATAGAACCCAAAACAACCAGACCAGGGATGGCCCCGCCCACAATGGGCTGGGCCTGCCCCATCAATCACTAATTAAGAAGATGCCCTACAGGCTTGCCTACAACCCTATTTTATGAAGGGGATGCCTCAAATGAGGCTCCCTCCTTTCAGAGGACGTTAGTTTGTGTGAAGATGACATAAAACTATTCTACAAACTTCCCCTTCTCATCATCAAAAAAAAAAAAAAAAAAAAAAAAGGAGCCTCTCTCCTTTTGCAACTAAAGAAATCTTTTTTGATTAATGTTTCCACTTCTTTACCATCCAAATCAAGGTTCTCTTTTTTTTTGGGGGGGAGGGATGGGGATTGAAACAGGATTTCTCTGTATAGCCCTGGTTGTCCTAGAACTCCCTGCTCTGTAGACCAGGCATGCCTCTGCCTCCTGAGTGCTGGGATTAAACCACCACCCAGCTTAACCACTGTTTTGGTGAGCTTCTCATGCAAGATAGTTTTTTTTAGCACTATCAACATGTTCAATTACCACTTTCTGCTTAGCAAAATTATTGTAAGACAAATTTCAATATATTTTTCAATTGAGGAACACAACAGACATTTATAATATTTAAATCATCTCAAAGCAAAACAGCCCAAGTCTCCAATGGATAAAAAGCAACCACTCACTAACACTCGCACATTTCCTCAAATAACAACAGTTTCAGGGATCAGATCTGTCAACCCAGGCATTTGTTCCTTACCAAAAGGAATCTTCTAATTTAAAATTACACTTACTGCTCATCTAAGACGGTGTACAAAGCATCATTTGGTCAGGTGCAGAAGCACACACCTTATCCTAGCTCTTGGGAGGTAACATGAATAGTTCAAGGTCACCCTCCCCTACACAAGGAGCTTCAAAACCAGCGTGGGCTATAAGGGATCCTTTCTCAAAGGGGGTTAAAAAGTATAATCACTTCTGCTGTGAACTAACTGCAACTTGCTTGAATAAAAAAAAAAAGATAGAAAGAAAGAAACCCAACAACAACAACAAAACCTCTTGGCCTTAAGTTTGAAGAAAACTTTCTTTTAAAAAGAAATCTTTTTACTCGTCCTTTTTCTACAAAAAGATGAACTCCAGCCAGTGCCTCCAGGGCCGTCTAGAAAGTGCGTCTTCCAGACCTGACCGTGTCACTAGGGTGGAAAGATCGTTTTCTTAAATACGAAAATGCAGTAATGAAGCTAGAGGTTACATGAATGGGAAGGCCAAATCACCGCCCGCCCGCCCGCTCGCTGCAACACCAAGCCCCGAACGGGCTCTCCCGGCTCTAAGTTCCTCAGAGTCACCGGGGGGGGGGGCTGCCCGGTCCCCGAGCCACCGCAGGCGAGCAGAGCCGATCCACATACCTGGAGGCAGCTGCAAATTCGCCGGCAGCTGGATCGTCGTGGTGCCGGGAGTCTTCACGGTGACTATCTGAGGAGCGGGCAGCCTGGGGCCGCCGAGTTTAGGAAGCGCGGTGACAGGGACCACTTTGGTCACTAGGGTCCCCACGGGGGATGGCAGGGGCTGGGGCGCCCCGGACTCCACGCAGACGCCGACAGGAGCCGTAGTCACAGGGCCCAGGGCCACCGGGGTGCTCTCCACCCGCACGGGCAGCGCGGCGGCGGGGGCCATGGTCACGGCCCCCGAGGCGCCCGCGACCACCGGAGCGGCGGCGCCGGCCGGCTCCGTGAGGCCCGCCGGCATCCCCCCCGGGGGCTCAGCGGCAGCGGCGCTGCCCTTCCCGGAGCTCAGGCGAGGCGAGGCGGGCGCAGTCCGGGCGCCGCAGCATCGCGGGGCACAGGCGCGCTCCGGGCCCGGCCGGCGGCGAGACCGCCGGGCACTCCCTCAGCGGCGCCCGCACGTGCGCGCCTCAGCCCGGTCCCGGTCCCGCCGCACAAGCGCCCGGACTGGCAGCTCCCTCGGGCCGTCACTTCGGTTCCCACCCGGGAGCTCGCACTCGGCGCTTCCCCGCCACAAATTTCAAAACCCTGCAGACCCGCAGCGTCCGGCGGCGCCCCACGCGCGCTCCGCACCGCCCGCGGCGCCCCGGCCAGCCATGTTTATATAGCCACGCGGAGCCCGTGCGCACGCGCCCTGGCGGCCCCCGCCGCCCGGGGCTTCCCTGCCGTCCGACCTTCTGATTGGCTAGCGAGAGGAATCGCGCTCGTGACGTCACGAGGCCGGCTCCGGAGTGGCTCGCAATCTGGCTCCGCTTGCCGAGCGCTGGGGCGCAGGTTCCCGGGGAGTTATCACGTGCGGGGCGGGCGAGCTGCGCCCGCACGACTGCGACGCGGCGCGCCTCCGCCGGGCTTGTCCCGCCTGTCGCCTCGGTGAGCTCCACCCGCCGCCCCTAGGACGCCACACTTCAGGGGAAAAGTGCGGAGAAGTGATTCTGGAAAAGGCACGGTTCAGGAACTCGGTCCCGCTTGGGATTAGTGTGGTTTCTGTCCTTGCGGCGACAAAAAAAAAAAATTATTACAGTTGACATTATAAAAATCAGAAGAGTGTATAATTTTATTGTCTTTAAAAATGTCTTTTTGTTTTGTTTTTCGAGACAGGGTTTTTCTGTAGCTTTGGAGGCTGTCCTGAAACTAACTCTTGTAGACCAGGCTGGTCTTGAACTCACAAGAGATCCTCCCGCCTCTGCCTCCTGAGTGCTGGGATTAAAGGAGTGCGCCACCAACACCCGGCTAAAAATGTATTTTTGTAAATATTTCTTTCGACTTGAAATAGCTAGAACATAAACTGGAAAACCATTTTTATTCCTCCTTACCGGCCTGTAAGTCTGTGTCCACTATTAGTGTATTTGTTCATTTATTGGATTTTTTTTGTTTTGTTTTGTTTTGTTTTGTTTGTTTTAGACGAGGCCTCACTGTTTAGCCGTCACTGGGACTCAGAGAGCAGAGCAGCTGACCTCTGCCTCCCGAGTGCTAGGATTAAAGGCTTGTTCGACACATCTGGAATTTTTTATTTTGTGACAGGCTCGCACGCTGTAGTTTGGGATGATCTCGAACTCACTATGGAGCATCTTGGCCTTGAAAGTGTGGTAAGCCTTCTGACTCAACTTCCTAAATGCTGACCATTTAACTTTATGTGTCATCTTCTGGGAAATTAGGACAGGCCTTCTGGTTCTTCATCTTCAAATCCCAGTTCTAAGATCTTAAGTGCAGCAGTGAAGCTTGCTACAGTCAAGTCCCTCGGGAGCAAACATTCTCCATGATCTAGCCAGAGAAGACACCTTTACTGCATACCTGTTATAAGGTCATTTTGTAGCGAATTGCACTATACTGAGGGAAATTTTGCAAGTAGGCAGGTACCTAAGCACCTCAGAGAGGGTTTGCCCCAAATATGTATGTTGAAATTGTAATGGTATTAGGAAATAGGGTCTTTGTGAGACAAATAAAAAAAGAGACCCCACCCACTACAAAAGTATCAAGTATGTGAAATATTTCTGGCAGTAGGATTTAATCTTCCTCCAGTTATACCTTCATAAAACAGCACTTTGTAACCTATAAATATGCAAATAGTACTTGTTGCATCTAGGTATGTGTGTGTGGGTGGATGGGGTGACCTTCTAGAATCCCAGCCCTGGGAAGACTCAGACAGAAAGATTCGGAATTCAAAGCCAGTCCTGGCTACTCTCTATCCCAACAATCTTGATATACAGCAAGTTCCAGGCCAACAAAGGTTACATAGCAAGATCCTCTCTTTTTTCTTTTACCTTTGGTGGAAACCTCTGCCTCATGCTGGGCTAGGGAAAAACCTCACCCACAAACACTGGCCCCAAATACTTTGTCAACCATGCCTTTTTTTGAGATTGTATTTTAATTACTGTACTGGCTGGTTTTATGTCAACTTAATACAAGCTGGAATTATCTGAAAGGAAGGAGTCTTGATTAAGAAAATGCTTAAGCTCAGCGGGGCGTTGGTGGTGCACAACTTTAATCCCAGCACTTGGGAGGCAGAGGCAGGCAGATCTCTGTGAGCTTGAGGTCAGCCTGGTCTATAGAGCTGGTTCCAAGACAGGTTCCAAAGCAATACAGAGAAACCCTGTCTGAAAAAAACAAAAAGAAAAAAAGAAAAAGCTTAAGCTCCAGCTGTGATTGGTCAGAGAGAGGCCAGCTCATGGTGGATGGTGCCATCCCTGAGCTGGTGGTCCTGGGTTCTATAAAAATGCAGGCTGTGCAAGCCATGGGGAGCAAGCTAGTAAGCAGCACCCTTCCATGGCCTCTGCATCAGCTCCTGCCTCCAGGTTCTTGCCCTGCTTGAGTTCCTGCCCTGACTTCCTTTGGTGATGAACAGTGATAAGGAAGTATAAGTCAAATAAACACTTATCTCCTCAACTTGCTTTGTGGTCATGGTGTTCAATGCAGCAATCATAACTCTAAGAAGATTACATTACCCACTTCCCTTTCTTCCCTTCAAACCCCTCCGTGTACCCCTTCCCCTCTCCTTCATGTGTTTTTCTTCATCAGTTGTTATTTCAGGCATTTATGTATTTGTGAATACGCATATAGTCTCAAATATAACATGTTGAGTCCATATAGTTGCAGGTATGTTTTCAGTGCTGTTTTGCACTGCTCTTCCCTGGGGACGGCCACCCTTCCAGTTCCCAGTTTTACTCAGTTGCCTATACTTCTTTATGTAGGCTTGAAGCCTTATGGGCTTTTCCATGTCCACTTAGGCATGTCCTTGTTTTGCTTACATTTGGGCAGTCGTGTTGGTGAGGCTATGGATGGAGCTTCTGACGCTACTAGGAGACACAATTTCACAGCAAATTTCCTGATCCTTTGATTCTTGCAATGTTCCCTGAGCCTTGGGTACAAGTGATTTGTAGATCCGACCTCAACATCTGCATTTCTGTTGGTTGTGGTTTTCTGTAGTGGTCTCCAATTGTTGCAAAGAGGGTTCCTTGAAGAGAGGTGAAGACTACCCTTATCTGTGGGTATAGGGACAAATGCCTGTAGATTGTTGTTATGGATTATGCTGCTTTTAGTAAATTAGTGATTGTAGGTTCTCCTTCAATAACCATGATTTCACTAGCACCAACTAGTTAGACAGGTTTCCAGACATTGTTTCCCTCTTGTTGAACAGATGTTGAACAAGCTGTCTGGTATTTACTGCCAAGTTTTTTTTGTTTTTTTCTTTCAGCTTTCCATATATGTTCTTTTTGATACATACTTACTGTTTTGACTGTCATATGCCATGGGGATTTTCTTTCCTGGTCTTGTCTGTTTGATGTTCTGTGTGCTTCTTGTATCTGTATGCATGTGTCTTTCCTTAGTTTGGCAAGACTTTCTTCCATGCTCTTATTGAAGATCTAATCTGTGCAATGAACTGGGGATTCTTTCTCCCTCATCTGTTCCAATAATTCAAAAGTTTGGGGATTATTTTGTTTTCATTTCCTGTGTCTTCCTTTCCTGTGTATTTTTAATTTTTTCATGTTTGTTATTTATTTGGTATAGATCCTCTACTTGATCTTAGAAACCTAATATTCTGTCTTCTGTTTGGTTCATTTTACTCATAACTTTCACTTGAGTTTTCTAGTTGAGCTATTGAGGGTTTCAACTCCGTCTTCATTTCAGCTTGAGCCCTTTTCGATGTTTCTATTTATTGAATTCCATCCTCGAACCCTGAATTGTCCACATCATTTCCATCAGCTTTATGTTTGTGTTTTCTCAGGTATTTATTCTCCTTAAACTCTTTCTCCTTGATTTTACTAAGCTGTTTCTTTCTTCCGTCTTTCAGTTCCTTGAATTCTGAGTTTTATGACTGTTCTTTTCATTTCTTTTCCTTAAGTTCATCTTGGTAATTCTCCTGGGCAAACATTCCTACAGGACTGGAGATACTGGCTTGATGTTTCACATTATTGCTGTTACTGTGATGAGATCTGAGCATGTAGACTTCCTTTGTTCGTTTTAAGTTTCTTACGGATAGAGGAGTGTGGGGAGAAGAGAAGATGCAGGCAGGGACTGTTTTGAGTGGAATGAAGTCAGGTGGGCAAAGGGGACTGGGCTGGTATATAGGATTTGCTTCCTGTTCCAAGATGGGGATGTGAGGTTGATAGGTCTGAAAGGAAAGGTTGGGTATGAAGCAGGAGAACCCTGTAGTGTGGCAGATAGGTAGAGAGGATACTGGTCCAACCCTATAGTCCTTTGCAGTGAAGGCTGCGAAGATAAGACTAGGCTTGTGCACTGGTTGTGGGACCCGGGGAAATCTTGTAAGTATGAAAAAGGCATGCATGAAAAGATCAAGGGTAGTCAGTCAGCAGATTAGACCCTAAAGAAGGATGTGGGAAGTCTTCAAAAGGAGTGAAATGGTAGAGGCAGTGCAAAGGGTCCTGGAGGTGGATGAAGGTATGACAGGTCCTAGAGAAAGCCTTAATATTGGCTGAGGTGAAGGAGAAGATGGAAATAGGCCAGGACACAGATTTGGTACCCTGCAGAAGCCTAGAGGTCACTGCTATAAGATGCAGGTGGCCAGACCAGGTATATGCATTCTTTTATAGGTTGAGCTTACACATTTTTTTTTTACAATTTGCTTTATATTTTATCTAATAGTGGGAGCTTTCATTCTCTTGCTCTCCAAAATATACTCCTCCTATGTAGCATTAATAGTCACTGGCCTGAATTTGGAGTTCAGTAGTAACCGCATTACATTGCTTGGGAACAAAATAATGCATTTATCTCTATATGTGAAAAGAATGGGGGCCATAATCAGTTGATTTTATTATGTTTATCTATTAGTACTTATAAGTGTAATCTCATCACTTGGGAAACAGAGGCAGGTGAATCTCTGAGTCAGAGACCAGCCTGGTCTACAGAGTGAGTTACAGCTCAGCCAGAGGTTACACAGAGGAACCCTGTCTCAAAAAAAAAAAAAAAAAACCTGAAAAGAAAAAGAGAAATACATTTATTTGTATGTGTGTGTTGGGTGTGTGC